TAAAATGGATACTCAGACCCTGTGAGCATTAGAGGTGCTTTCTCCCCAAATACATACATATTGCATAAAGGATTGCATGGGGTCTGTCTGAATGCAGACAGAAGGAAGAGGAGGCTTGGCTAAGGCCTGTGATATTCGATATTTAACATCACACTTGATTTGCTCAGTGCTTGACATGGGCACAGCAATGCCCCACTTGCTTATAAATTCACTCTTGTTTGGCAGCAGCAGTCCTGCTATTTCTCAGACACATCAGCATCCCAGCCATAAATGATGACTAAGGCCTCAGAAGGCCTATGGTCTACCTTTCCCTCAAGTCCCTTAAGAAGATGCCCCACTTCTACAGGCAACGTCCCTACCATGTGTCTTTTGCACAGCAGGGTCCATACCAGAGCTTTGCAGTAGATTCAAAAAATGTAAGCTCTGGGATCCAAGACAACTATTTTTAAAATAAATAAAGATAAGCAAAGACATGACCGCCCACATGGATATTTCCCAGTTTGCAAAGTGTGGACTTTAGAAGTACGGAGTTTACTCAAGTTGTCTTGGAACGTTACATTGAGGTCTCCAAGTCTTCCACCCAGCTTCCCCACTGCTTCCCAAGCAGAGGGATGGAGAGAGGGGTGGGCATTGATCTTGTGTTCTAAGATGTCTCTACCTACATTAGAGCTAGTGAAGTTGATTTAGTACCAAAGCCTTGAGTGTGTGTCCTACAGGTTTTAGGGGATCAATAAAAAATACTACTTTTTTTTCTCTCCCAAGTACAGAAGCAACTGGTAAATATAAGACACCGGAAACAGATGGTCAGAGATTTCACCCAGCAGCTCTATCACTGACACGCTGACTGGAGAACGTGGCTTTAGATCCACAGTAGGAAGAATGTGCCACCACTCCCTGTATATGCCCCCTCCGTGCTGCCCCTGGCCAGACCTTGGGACAGCCCACACAGGCAAAGTTCATGTCAGGAACGGACCCATACTCATGATAGCAACCCAACACCTGTCCTCGGTGAGACAGAGAAGGAGGATGACAAGCTTCTGATAGATTAACTCCTTCCGTTTCAAAAATGTGGGCCAATGCATGTCAGCTTCCAATCAGATAACTCACTCCATCTCCAGGACAGGGGAGGGGGCCTAGAGGCTGGGAGTGTTGCTCTCATGCAAGTCCCTTCACCTGAAAACAGGAGGCAGAGGACAGAAGGGCCCTGCCCAAACACACGTGAAAGCCCTGTTTGCCTTGTAAACCGACATCCCTCCTCTCTGCCACAGAAAATCATAATGAGTCTTTCAACAAGAGCTGTTAACGCTTAGAAAGTCCGGGGAATCCGTGGTCAAATGCTGTCATGTTGGTATCATATATGGGCAGAACAGGTCATAGGGCAGAAGAGCTGCAGTTACTCATGGCGCTACTGATGGAGAGCTCACATCTTTCCTTTTGTCATTACTCAGTGACTATGGCCTGGACAGCTATGAGCTGAGCCTGGGTTGGGACCCCAGAGAGGTACTGTGACTCTGAGCACCTGCCTAGCAACCCTCACAATTTTTCATAAGTATGCATGGAGCCCTTTGGCATGTACTTCCCTTGCCTGATCAACTCCTCCTTATCCTTTGGTCTCACCTCATTAGTCATTGGTTACTTTCTTGGGAAGTTTCTCTCCAACACCTTTACCTCCACTCCTCAACCCTTTGCTGTCCACTGCCATGGAACTATGTCCTTGAGAACCTTCATTTGTTGGTGTGATTCTTTGGTCAATTTCTGGCCCTGAAGACCCAGCTGACGCTGCGGACAGTGAATCTGGAGCAGCACCAACCAGTGGGATTGAATTTCCTCAGTAGCTCTCTGCAGCCAGAGAGGAGAAGCAAGGAGAGGAGAGAGTTGAATTGATCCAGGACTGGGGTTTCTTAGGGTGGAAATCTCAGAATTAAAAACAGGGCAGGGGCAGGATGTTGGCAAGGAACAGGATCTGGTACATATAAGAATTTCATGTATGGTAAAGGTGACATTTCAAATAAGAAAGAAAAAGATTATTCAATAAATAATAAGGGGCCATTGGGTAACTCTTTTGAGAAAAGGTAAAATTAAAGTTTTGCCTAATATAACATACCAAAATAAATTATAGATGAATTAGAGTTGAAGGGGGAAGAAAAGAAGGAAGGAAATGAAACAAAGTTTAGATGACAATTCATATGACTTTGGCATGGAGAAAGGCTTTCCAAGCATGACAACCAATTCAGAAACTGTAAATTAAAAAATTAATGTGACTAAAGAAAATCTAAAGCCTCTGTATGTCAAAAAAAAACCCTATGAAAATTAATTCTTAGAGGGCAAAGTGGGGAAGACATTTGAACATAAATAAGCAAAAATAGATCTGTAGCTTCCATATATAAAGTGTTCTTTCCAATCAATAAGAGATGAAAGCATTAATGGAAAAATAGACAAAGGTCATGCATAGGCATTGAAGAAGAAATGCAAATGGTTAATAAACATGTGAAAAATCAAGAAAATATTAATCAAAACAACCATATTTTTAATCTTTAGAGAAAGGATAGAGTGCTCAATCAATAACATTGAAAAGATTGGCCCAACTTTTGAAAAACTTAAATTAGGTCCCTACCTATGTCAGACATCAAATAAATGTAAGAAAAATTAAAATTTTAAATGTAAATGAGAAAATTATAAAAGTGAAGGAGGTATATGAACCTTGAGGATATTATTATATTAACTGAAATAAGCCAGTCACAGAAAGAGGACTACTGTATGATTCTACTTAGAGTAGTCAAATTCGTAGAGACAGAGAGTAGAATGGTGGTTCCCAAGGGCTGGAGGAGGGAGGAACAAGGATTTATTATTTAATGGGTACAGAGTTTCAGTTCTACAAGGTAAAAAGAGTTATAAAGATAGATAATGTTGATGGTTACACAACATTATGAATATATTTAATACCACTGACTGTACACTTAAAAATGGGTAAGATGGTAAATTCTATGTTATATATATTTACCACAATAAAGAAATTTTGAGGAAAAAAGTAGAGGTAGAATATAAAATTATGTTCTTATATTTTTGATATGGAGGAAATCTTTCTTGATGTAACACCAAGGTTCATAATTTTGACTACATAAATATTTAAAACTTCTATAAAACAAAAAAAAATGTTTAAAGTTAAAAGACAAATAGGGATAAAATCTTTACAACATAACAAGCAAGGGGATATATAATTATATAAAGAGCTCCTGAAAATTAATATGAAAAAACTGAAGACACCCCATAGTAAATGCTCCATGTCTGGTAGAGAATAAGCATTGAATATAATAAATGCATGATATAAGTAGTCAATTTACATAAGAAGAAATGATAATGGTGAAAAGATGTTTTGTTTACCTTTACAAATAATCAAAGAAATGTGAATTGAAACAATTAAACATTATCACTTTCTACTTTCAAATTGACAAAAAGTTAAAAAGATTGATAATACCAAATTTGGACAAGGGTGTGGGGAAATAGGCTTTCTCATACTCTGTACCTGGAAGTATAGATTGAAACAACCTTGCCAGATGGCTATTTGCCAATGTAAATCAAATGCTTCAAAAATGTGCACATCATTTGACCAGCAATTATCTTCCTAGGAATATATCCTCAGAAATTCATTATGCATGGGTGCATACATTTGTTTACAGGGCTTCTCACAGGCTTGTTTTATGGCTAACAGTTGTATGCAACCTTAATGTCCAAAGAAGGATTGGTTAAATAATTTTTGGCAGACCTACAGAAAAGACTACTAATCTACCATTAAAAAATAATGTAAAAGAAAATTTATTGACATGTGAAAAGATTCATGATATACTTTTAAATGGATATACTTATAAAGATTCATGATATACTTATAAAGTAAATTACAAAACAATATATATACTATATAATGTAAAAGAGTGGTTACCTCTGGGGAGCAAGTCATTTTTATTTTCTTTCTGCATTTTCTCTATGTTGTCCTAATTTTTTTTTCATAAATACTGATTTGTAATCAAAAGACACCTAGTAAATGCTGTTCTAAAAATTATTACTTGTTTGGAGATAAAGCAAACATTTGAGGAATAAAATATCGTATTCTTAAATGGCCCAGTTCTCTCAGATCTCTCCAGCCCATGGGTACAAACGGGGACGCATTAACAATAACCACTCCTGTTTCCACGTCTCTTAACTCAAGTTTTGTGCCATTTGTGCCAAGTTTCGTCCCAGCTCTATAAAGCCTCAGCAAGTTATTTGGGCGGAGTTCATTCCTGGGAGGGGTTTCACAGGAGCTCACCTTGAGCCCCAGGGCCCTCCTTCAAGTCTGCTGCTGTGAAGCCACTTGAGGGCGCCTCCCCACAGTGACTGTGACACTGTGACCAAGGGGACCTGCCCAGACAGGATGCATGCCCTAGGACACTGTCTGCTGGAGCTCCAAATAGGTAGCCCTACTTGAGGCCCACAGCACCTGCTCTTGGCAGAAGGAGGTGTCCCCCTCTAGTCACATTCTGGTCACACTTGGACACCTGGCTCCATTAACCCCCAGAGTCCCCACCCCCTCCCCATGTATTCCTCCTCCTCCTGCCTTCAGGCCTTCTCCTGACGAGCCTCACACAGGGGTCCTAAAATCCAGTCCCATCAGAGCCTGCAGTTTCTGAGGCGGCCTCATCCTCCTCCCCCCTGCCCCGACCCGTTCCCACCATACCTGCTCAAGACCCTCCCTGCCCCTGTAGCCAGAAAAGACCGGGCACAAGCGCTGGGGAAAGCCTGGGATTCGTCCTCCCAGCCTTAACCGCGGACAAAGGCTTAGTGTGCTCCCATTGTGTGCATGTTCCCGTCGTGTGCGGAGGACGTTGGGATTGGGGATAAGCACACGCCCAGGACCTCCACCCGGGCTCACACCTCAGCAGGGAGGGGGCTGTGTCCCGGTCATCGTCTGACTAGGGAGAGACAGGTTTTGTGGCGAACACCCACATTCTCAGCCTAAGATTCACCTGCTAATTGCACCTTCGGATGTCGTCCAGGTTCTGCTACGCGAAGCCTCCTCACTCTGGGGACGCCGTGCACCCCTCAGGGTGGCCCCAGGGCCCCGCGTCGCCCGCAGGCCTCCACTGTGCTACAGATCCCGGAAGGGGCCCCTGGGCTGCGCGGGAAAGCGATGGCGAACGTGCGGACGGCGACGCGAGCGTGCCCGCTGATTGGCTCCCCACTGGGGGCCGCCGGGAAGCCCGTCCCGCGCCTGCGGCTGTGGCGAGGCCGGCGAGGCGCCTGGCATTTGGTGAGTGGAGCCCAGGGACAGGGCGGAGGGCGGGGCCGGCTCCAGTCAGTGTGTAGGGACAGGAAATTCCTCCTGGCAGGTGACCTCATGCTGACTGCTGGGCGCGCCCGCCCGAGGCTCCGTCTGAGAGATGCGTGGTGCGGGCTCCCAGCACGGGCCGGGCCGCCGCCCGCGTCCTCCTCAGAGGAGGGCGGAGGGAGCCCGGTTAGGGTCTGGGACGCTTAAATCTCTTGCAGACTCCGGAGCTGGGGCATGGCGGTCAGCCCGCCGCTCGTCCAACGCCTCTTTCCAGCCCTCGCGTCGGGTTTGGGGGCCCTCCCGCAGGAGCCCAAGTTCCGCAGCCGCGTGATGCCGGCCCTGGACGGTTCCGATCTGGGGCGGGAGGCAGGGTGGGCTCCCCATGCGGCGGGAGGTGTGGGGTGGGCAGCAGGGAGCGAATTCGGGGCCAAAGTGACCTTAATTAGGCCAGAGGGCGGGGCGGGCGCCCGTACGGTGACACGTGGGGGACTCTGGGCACGTGTCGGTAACCGTGGCTCCCTCCCTGACCTTGACCGACCAGGCGGTTTTCTGTAAGTCCAGTCGGCGGTCAGGACTTGCTCTCGGCGGGAACGTCCCCTGGAAGACCTGGGGGGCCGCAGCCTGGTCACCTGGGCCACAGCCCAGGGTGGGGTTGCGCGCGCTGGTCGGCGTGGCTCAGCCTGGGACGCGCGGTCTGTAGCGTGGCCCGGTACTCGGTGGTGGAATCGTCCCCGGGAGTGGCCGGGAGGAAGGGGGCGTCCGTGGGAGAAGCCATCGTGTCTGGCCTAGCCCCCGCCCCCGCTCCACGGCCCGGGTCACAGGGACTCTGGGTAGTGTGTGCGCTGTAGTGCAAGGGTCGAGACCTGCTGGAGCAAGCGTGTCCTGTTCCTCCTCCCCATGCGCACCCCTTCCCATGCGCACCTCCTCCCCGTGCGCACCATGCGCAAGGGTCGAGACCTGGAGCAAGCGTGTCCTGTTCCTCCTCCCCATGCGCACCCCAGTGGAGAAGCCACTGGGCGCAAAGCATCAAGAGTGCACCAGGCTGTGGGAAGCAAAACAAACAGCCCTCTTGTCTCCTGTTGGGCTTGAGGGGCCATATACCCGGGTGCGCTTCAATTCCTTGAGATCTCTACTTGTGTGTGGTGGGAATGAGCCTGTAGACAGACACATGGACGACCCACAGACTTGGAGGGACTGATGAACTGACTTTCCTCACTGCCTCCAGTCCAGGTGTGGGCAAGGCGGAAGCGGCCTCCCCATCTCATCCAGTCCGGGAAGGACTCACCCCCAGCAAATTCCCTGACTCCACAGCAGCATGTGGGAGGAGCAGAGGCTCTCTGGGCCCTAAAGAGGGGCAGCCAGAGGTGGCCTGACATGGTAGGAAAAGTAGTGATTTTTTATCTACCAAATGGACATAATGGATGATTTGGTGTGAGGACGAAATTCATATAATTCATGTTAAATGCTCAGCCCAGGGCCAGTTACTTAATTCCTATACTTGATGGTATTATGGTTTCTAAAGGGAAGGTAACATAGGTTTAAAGGAAGATTGGGTACGGGGAGAGTAACTGTTGGTGATTATGAGTGAAGTTTTAGTAACTAAGCATGTCTGTAGAGGGATGAAAGCTGCATTCATGGTCTCTGTTTGCCCTAGGAGGGAAAGAGAAAATAGCTGATAAGAAGAGTAGGATGGGGTGTGAATGGGTGAGATGGGAGAGGAACCTACCAGGGAAAAGCATAAAAATTGGTGGGATCTGTCCAGATTCCAGTTATTAGACTGAAAATCGAATGTTTTAATGGGTCAATCAACGATCTTCTGATCAGTAGTGAGAATCAAGAAGGCCAATAACAGGACAACGGGGCTAGTCTGGCAGCAGAGCCAGTCAAGGGGTGCTGGAGAGAGACAGGGCTAAGACAGAGAATCCTGCATGCATCATTACAGAGATTGACCAGCAATTTCAGGACCTGGCACAGCCTGGCATGTGGAACTCATCGCATAAATATCTATTGAATGCACAAATGAAGGAATCCATGAAATGAACCTATGCTGTAGCTTGTTATAGCAAACCACAGAGGACAGATGTGAGACTCTGGTCAGTGCTTACTCAACTCACCACTGATAAGAGGACCTCAGTACATCCTGTCCTCAGAGCGCAAGCATCATGGTTGATATAAACCATTTATATCCTGTCACCCTGTTCTCCTTCGTTTTGGTCTATGAGACATCAAGGAATTCTGGAGCCTGGCCCTTTATTGTCAAAAGACTTGATTTTTTATCTCTGCTGTCTCCTACCTTGGGCCTCTGGTGTCAGAAAATGGTATCTGAAATGGCAGAAGCCCTATTGCAACCTCAAGGGGACAAGCAGTAAACAAAAATCCCACATGCTGAAGACAGGAGAGTATAAAAACAGAAAGAGCTGGGTGCTCAAAAGCATGGCCAAGCTGCACCAGTCCTGGAGCTGCTTACCTCTACACTTAAGTAAATGGTAAATGTCACTTTGGATTAAGCCATTGGTGAGGTCACTATCACTTCCAGCTGAACACATCCTAACCAGCACAATGGGCAGGGCCACCATGTTATACAAGTCACATAGTCTATGTGGAAACAGCCCAGGAGTTGTGTAATAAGGATTCTCAGCAACCGGGGCTGGCTGATGGCCTGGGAACAGGGTTTTGAAGACTCGAGGACTTTGAAAAGTGGGTTTATTGGACCTGAAAAAGATTCTGATCTCTGAAGTTCCCAGGATGCTTCCAGGGGACTTTAAACACCTCCACTCCTGGATCTTCCCTCCCCCACCTGCCGCCTACTGAATCTGCAGCTCAGCCACAGGAACTCAAGAAACCAATCTCTTCTCTTTGCCTAGAAGCTGCAGTCTTCACTAGTGGTTCTCTGCAGTCTCCACCACTTGGCTTTGGGGAGGCACCTGGAAAAGGGAAGTTATAGCCCATGTGTACCACACTCTGCTGTGGCTGGCAACCTTGCATGGAGGAGGTGGGTCTCTGGAAGCAGGACTGGTTCTTGCACCTCCCAGCAAGCCTTGTTGGGAGTGGCCACTCTTGCTGGCAGTCCCCGGGATTCTCTCAAAATTGAGCTGAATATTAACCTAATTGCAGTTCTTTCTTATCCTGTTATTGCCTTGATTAGTTTATTCTTTGTACCTGCAGATACATATTCAGAGCCACACTGGCTACATGTTCAGCTTCTCTCCATGCTAAATTAGAAACCTTGAAAGTTGGAGATGGAACTATATTTTCTGATTATTTTAGTACTTGAGGCCTAATTTCTCTTCTACATATATGCACCTTGAGTTCCTTAACCCCACTTGCTGCCCTGCTGCTCATTTTAGCCTGATGTTGGAAGGGCTGCTGACTGTATGCATATGTTGGGAAAATACTTTTTGATTGTCTTAACTTTGTGAAAGACTAAACTCCCCAGGGCCCTAGACCAGCCCAAATAAATAATGTGGTTCCAGTAGGAGCAACTGAAATCCTAACCACAGTAATTATCCTAAGAGCTCCTGGACCTCTCTTGTCCCTTCAGCATATAGAAAGCTACCTTGCTGGCACAGGCCAGCCCACTGTTGCAATGTCAGGACCCAGCACGGGGATGGGCACCCAGTAGGTTCTCAACAAATATTTAAGGAATCTATAAATGTTGACATCAAGCTTATTTAGCAGTGCCAGAATCAGTGATTAAAATTCTTTGCTTTTCCTAGAGAGTATATTAATGATGGCTAATAGTGTTGTAGATGCAGCATGATTTTACTAAGATAGATAAAGATTAATTATTTAAGTCCATATAAAGAACTATGATCAAGAAGAGCAGAAGTTGAAAAGCATCTTCAGGATATATTTCAGACAGAGGTCACTTGGGGCAAGGCAGTTTCAGAGGACTGGTGAGAGGAGAGTTGAGATCTCTGCGGGTTGGGAGATGAATGGGGACCCAAAAGTGGAGAGGATCCAGGATAAAGTCTTTGAAGCAGCTTTGCTGTGAAGGGAGAAAGGGTGTGGGATTTCCAAGGGCATCAGGCATTTTTCTAATCCTCTCCCCTCCCCAGCACCTAAAACAGAAATAAAATCAGCTGATTAAAATATGCCCAGAGAAAGTACCCTGAGCCAGCCTCCTCACCCCCAGGAGAAGGAAGTCAAAGCAACAAAACATCATACTTTGCATTAAAATCTAAAAGTCTTCTGAAAGTTTCCTTTTCCCCTCCCCAAACAATCCTACCTGATCATTGACTCAGAAACACAAGGGCAAGAGAGGTATTTTGTCCTTTTGGTCCTAGAGAATCCGATGATAGTTACAGAGGCCAAATGCATACAATATGCAGGTGCACAAGTTACATGTATTCAACAGGGGCTCAGAGCCCCCCTCTGAAGCGCACAGCTGGGTGTCATGAACCTCAGGTCTAGAACCCTGACCTCAGGACTAGCACTCATGACTGTAGAACTACTGCAAGAAAGAGGGTGTCTTGGGGTACTTCCAGAAGTGCTTTAATACACACTGGGAGAGTCTTAAGAACTTCTTCACTGCTTGAAAAAAGCCTATGGAAGCTTTAACAAATTCACAAACTTAGTCTACTTTCCACTTTAAAATCCACAGGGACTTCCTAGGAGAGGGACAATTTTGGAAATTCATTCCCATATGGACACAGGTGTGACACAGCTCAGCCTCAGCTCCATCTGCCTGGCAATAAGGATGGAGGTGACGGATTCCCTCTGGCCCCCAGCAGCCAGCATGCTGGATTCTCTGAATAGTGTCTGCTCTACTGGCTGGAAGAAGGCTGCCAGGCTGGCAGGAAGCCAGGGCCAGGGCTCTGGTCCCAGGGCAGCAGCAAGCCCGCCAGATGGAGACTCAGTGTTAAGCAGG